ATTTTTTTAAATTGCGCAAAATTGCGAAATTTCAACTCGTGCTTTGATGAAGATTTTCTTTTGTAAAGCCTTTGCTATTACTGTTATGCCTCGTTCCATTGCCCTATCGAACTAGATAAATATGCGAGGGAATTGGCGATAGATCAACAGGCGCCAGCATCATCGGATGGAGTAGAATCTCATTATCGGTGCTCAGAATTACGCAAAAACCTAATGAACTATTCTATGGCGTGAAAACAATATGCCGAAGACAGGATCCACAACACAGTATCCTCATTATGAGTTCCATTGTCGCGGTTATTTTTTACTTTACATAAACATTATTATCATAGTTGTAATTGTTGTTCTACAACTTTTTTATTTTTACTAATTATTATTGCAATAGTAATTAAATATTCGTTATATGCTTATTTTTTACACATTCTATGGCCCAGTGACAATTGTCAGAGATAATGTTTTCAAAACTGCAGATTAACGCAATATTAAAAATCAAGAGAGTCTTTTGAAAACCGGAAGGTTTCGCATGGATTTTCGTTTCCGTTTCCGGCATTCGTCAAAATACGAATAAATATTATCAATAAATATTATCGTATTGCCATTGATTAAACAGTTTTTCTTTAATTTAATTATTATTAATTGATTTTTGCAAAATTCTCCGATTTTATATTAAATCTTTTATATTATATTTTATATTAAATCTTTTATATTAGATCTTTAAATAAAAAAAAATGAAATCCACCATAATAACAAAAAATAATCATTTATATTAAAACTTATTGGCCTAATAATTTTTTTTATATAAAATGAACTATTTCAATAGAAAGGACTAAGAAAGGAGAGCTATCAAATTTGTTTGGAACAGAAATGGTACAACAACTACAGAAATGGTAAAGCAGTTTGAAATTTAAGCTGGTTGAAACAAATTAAGGTAAGTGTTGCATACAATCCTTTAAATTTATCACATTGAACATATTACGCAATTAACATTCAAAACGCCCTCTTTTCACGAATTATCCCTAATACTAAGAGGCGTTAATTCATGTCCGACATCATTGTCCGACATCACTACCAGTTAATGGTCGAGAAATGCTCGAAAATACCATAGATATTAAGTGAACTTTTAATATTATATTGGTTGTTATAAAAATAATAGTAGTATTATTTGAAATAATAATATCTTTTAGAAACGAATAGAAATGTTGGATAATGTCTAATGCGTCAGTGGATCAGCAATGACCACAGGTTCGTCTGCATTGTCTTCTCATCACAATTCCATAATCACCAATATTGCAATGGTTTCGATATAACGTACAGTTGGCATGTGCATCAATGCAATCGTTCGAACTTGCTGCTGAAATTCAAATTTCTTCTTCCAGAATGTAAATCCAGAATAATGTCGTCATTGTATGTCGAAGACGTAGAGCTAATATCGACAACAGATTTTCAGTAATTTTGCCTTTTCCGCGCGTAGAGAAATGGGAAAATACACAAGGAAAAATATATATAAATATTCTTGTTACTAACCTGTGAGGTTTTGAAAACAAGCTCGTGACAAACACGTTCTCTGGCATATATTTCTAATCGAATCATGTTGACAAAATCCCCTCAAGCTTTCGCAACCATCAATGGTATCTGGACATTCGCCACCAGCACCAGGTAAGTCACAAAGTCCACATGTATGTGGGCATATTTCTAATGCGATCTTGTGGAGAGAAGGCATTCTGCACATTGCTTGAGTAAAACTGTCGCACTGTCCAACTGAAAATTTTAGTATACATTAAGAACTCTTAAATTCGCTTGGATTATTTTAATCAAAAATTATTTTAGAAAAACCACCATTTCTGCAGTTGAATTTTCTTGTTTTGCAGCACGCTGCGCACGTACGTGGACATAACTGTTCGCCTAAACGTATTAAATTTCCCTCTTGACAATTTTTGCTTACTTTATAGCTTTTTGTGCTGAAATAAATCATTTCCATAGAAAAATTGAAATAGTTTTGAGCGGAACATTTTAGTATTATTATAGGTTTTGCTTTTTCATGAAAAATTGAAAATTTCAATCAAACCAGCAGATTCAAAGCTATACAAAATAAATCAATCCCTTTAATTCGATTGTCTATTGAAGAAAAATTTTTTTTATTACGGATCACGTTGATTCTGAAGTGTATCTTGGTCTTCCACTGCAAATATGGCTGAACATGCTGGGTCAAGATCGGCGCATAGGTTTGGATCAACGGTTGGGCGCTGCACAAATGCTGGAGGTGGTGGAACTGCTGGAACTGCTCCAGGTGCGACTGGTGGTGCTGGCACTGCTCTGTTACATACATTAATATCCTTATCATTACCTGCTTTTGCAGAAGAGATGAAAAATAAATAAGGCAAATAAATGAAATACATCTTCGGCTGTTGTTGCCAGTTAACCCAATTAATCAGTTTAGCTTTTTTTTTAACCTTTTTATATTCTTTTTTTATACTCCAAATAAATGAAATACATCTTCGGCTGTTGTTGCCAGTTAACCCAATTAATCAGTTTAGCTTTTTTTTTAACCTTTTTATATTCTTTTTTTATACTCTTCTCTTTTGTTTACTTTGGTATGAAATTTTTATTCATCAAATTTATCAAATTGTGTGAACAAACCAATTTTTGAATTTTTCGTTAATTTTTTGGAATTCAAAATTCTTATTTTTTAATTATAACATTCCATAAATTCGGTTAAAAACAGGAAATTGCAAAAACATCCCAACGGTTTCTTTTCACGGTTTTCGTTTTTTTGCTGATTTATAATTTCAAAAAGATTTTTTCAAAAAACTGTTGAAATCAGCAAATTTTCGACTTTTGTTGAGAAAGGGCTAAATCGCTAAGCAAATTCTACTATATTTTAGCAGCAACTTTTTTATTTTTTATTTCTTTATTATTTAAATCCTCATTTTTTCTACTATTTGGTGATTATTACTAGTCACCAACTCTTATTACAGTTACTATTATTACTATTATTAATAGCTATTGGTTCTTACTTTTTACAACAAATATTATCATTACTTCTTTTATCGCTTTCACCATTATTGCTGTTGCTATTAAAATGTTTTTATTAATAATTAACCTGAAACGCTTCCTGGATTGCAAGCTTTAAACAAATACAGGTTATACGCTATATAAATCATAAATCATAAAAAATACGAAAATTCCGAAAAATTCTATCGCGCTTCCGGAATCGTCTCAGTGCAAATAAATACCATTGTTTCCTAGAATATTAATTTGTGTTGGCTTAAATTCATTTAAAATTTTGCGATAGAAATATCCCAAAATTTTTATTAAAATTAAGAAAATTGTAATTATAAAAATGACGAAAAGTAGAAATTTTACATGTTATTTCATCATTTATCATTTGTATAAATGATTACAATTTCATTAAAAATTTTTTAAATTCGTAATATTTACAAATTAAAGTATTCAATCATCTTCCCTGTGATGATTCAATTTTATTAGTGCCTTAATGCCTTTCAAATTTGTGAATATATGAATGGTATTGTGTACAGTTTTATATAAAATATCGGCAAAAAGAAGTGAACGTAAATTTGCTTTATTAATGCCTAAGGCAGTATTCAAATTCATTTAACATTCATTAACAAATGAATGGATGCGTTCATAAAAATTGGCGTTAATTCTATAAAATAATAATTGAATCTTTAAACAATATTTAAGGCTTTTTCTCGCCAAAAAGCAAATGAAGGCGATTTCATTCTTAGCAATCATTTATAAATAATAAACGATAATTTATTTCACTGTTCTTAGGCAATCATACGCGAAATTAGGTGATTTCTTTGCTGTTGCAGTCGATGTTAAGGTGATAATCTAAATGATTTTCTTTTTATCAATTGTATCAATTGTAGCATTTGTAATTCTTTCTTAATAATCTTAAGAAATCAAAAAAGGAAGAAAATCAGGAATTAGGGCTTCTTCATTTCTTATTCAGTTCTTCAGTTCAATGAGTTTTTGTCGTAAAATATTCCTATTTCCAGTTTGCTTATTGGAAGAGCACAGATTAAACAGAAGCAATTTTTTTATATTTTCTAATTTCCTTAAAAAAACAAAATATCAAATATTCATTTCAACGATCCAATTTATTTAAAATATTTTAATAGTTGCAAAGCGGTGGAAATTTATTCGGCATTAAATTGCAATTAAATTTGAATTTAAATTGAATTAAAATTAATCAATTAATTAATTAATAAAAAATTAATTATTCAAATTAATTATTTTTTATTAATTATTAAATTAATTATTTTTTCAAAAATTTTCAATTATTTTATTTTATTTTTTATTTATTCAAGTCAAAAAATATTAGAAAAATGGAAAACATTTAACAATTGAAGGAATTCTCTTTTATTGATTCAAATAAAGTAATACAATAAAAAAATAGTAATTATTCCATATGTGAGAATTGGCAGCACTAATTTCCGTACCGTGTTTTCTCTTTTTTTATCATTTTTTCCAATTTTTGCTCATTTTATAAATTCTTTTCTATAATTTTTAAATAAATTTCTCTATAATTCGATTAAGTAAAATATTCTGCTCAGCCTAATATTTGATAGAGAAGAATTTTGTTCGACATGACGAAAATATCACAATTCGCATCTGATCACCAGAAAAACGAGCCAAAGCAGCAATTGTGCAAACCTACTAGATTGTCCTTGCATCCGTATATTAGAAGCTGTGGACCATTCGACTGGAACGTCGAATCACATTTGAATATGCCTTCTATTAGACAAAACATTACTCGGCCAGTCTGCTGGTTAAATAAAATTAATTATAAATTCACATTAATTCAATATTTTAGAGGAGTTTTCCGTTGAAAATTAATTAATCGTTGAAGGTGAATGTGAAGAAAGAAATGATTTATATTATAATCGTTCAATCTGTTCAAAGAGGTAAAAAAGAAAAAAATTAAAAATATTGAAAGTTCAAAATTGGATATTTATATGAAAACGGTAACAAAAACGGTAACAGTACCATTACACTACATTTTTATCCGCAATTATCAAACATTGATTTTATTTTATTACATATTACTGTTATTTTATAATACTATTTCTTTATTTAGCCTTCTAACAGTTTTAGCCATTATTGGTTTCACTGGTAAGCATGTTAGGTTGTTTCCAAAGCTCTATATGCTATGCTATGAAATTAACTGGAACTGCCTTTTTCGCTCCTAAGCCTCATATTTTTATTTCCTTTCCCTAACACATCCACATTATTTTATTGCCCGTATAAAATAATTGCAGTTTGTTGGTTCAACTATATTGAATCCATTGTTAAATCTTCCTTCCGCTTTCCCACCCTCTTCTTATTTAATATGTACTACGGAGATGTCGATGGATTAATAAAATGAAATTCATATCTGATACCATTCTATGAGAATTTAAAAATGGGATGGGAGAGTGGAAATCGTCAAACAAGAAATTAGTTATCAAATTATCATTTATCATTTTCATTTTAATGCAGCGAAAATTATCATCAAATCTTTGACTAAAATTTTTTGTTCGCTGCCTTAATCGTATACAAATCGTCAAGACATCTCCACATCTTTGAAAAAACACAGTACCTAGAGTTAATTTGAATGCTGATTTAATGTAAATGATATATTAAGATTGACAATATTTAGGATTAACATCAATTTTCTTCTTCTAACATCCTGGTTAGGCTGGCTCCAACGGCTACAAGGGTGAGAAGCTTCTAAGCGCCGCGGTCTGGATTAACATTAATAATTAGCGTTAATAATAATAAATAATAATCATAATAATATAATAATTAAGCATTCTATATTTATGGAAAATAAGTTTAAATACTTGGACTGCCGTATTGCCATACTAAAAATGAAAAAACCTTTAAAGGAAAATCATCAATTCCTTTTCCTGACAATGATGCAAATAGTGCATTGATGCAAACCTAAGCAAGATTTGGGCAATTTCTCGAATCGAGGCAATTCCAGCAAAACTTTTCCAATTAAATTGAACCTTTTATTAAGCATAGTCTTCCCTTGAAAAACAATATATTTTACCAATTTTTATTAAATTATTACCAATTAATTAAATCATTAATTTACAGAATACTTCATGGTTAGAAAAAACATATTAGAAAAAACCAACTTGCAATATCAAACAAACTAAGCCACTATTTTGCTTTTTGCTTCACTTCTAAATCACCATATAATAAAAAAACATAATAATTCAGTTAATATCTGAGATTCTAAATCCAAATATATATCTGACGGTGAGTTGTAGCACTGCATCAAATAATCAAATCAAATAAACGACAATGATTTGTGACACTGCAAAGTTAAAACAGTCGATCTGAAAGAGAGAAAGATTCATAGTCTATTTTAACAAAATCTTTGAAATATAAATTTATTATATGAAAAGAGAAAAATGTAAAGAAATTTTTTATCAGCTAAATGAGTGGTTAGTTGATTTCAATGGGTTTAAAAAAACTATTGAATAAGTCGGAGCGAAACAGAAAAATAAATTAACAAAATGTCGTCGAACAAATTTAATTTAAAACATATGGACACATATGAAAAAAAATAAAAATAAATACTGATCACCGTTTAGAATTGCTGAATTGCCGTCACTAAATCTAAAAAATAATTCCATCAGCCTCACACAAACTTTTTCAAGTATCCCAACTTATTAGCCTAAAATAATTCAAAATCACCGAATCATCCAAATAATCTTTATAAATTTATAAATTTATAAATTTATATGAATATTTGACTATAAGTTTCTTGCTTTAATCCATTTGCTTACATTTCAATAATTTTTCATTCATTTCAAAAGTACGAAATAAAATTATTAAGGTATTTGTGATAAGTAAGAAGCAAATGAAACTGGATTAAAGCAAGTGATATCAGAAGAAGCATAAAATCTGAATCACCTTTAACCCACTCAAAATCGGCGAAATAAACAAGTAATCAAGCAATTAGAAAAGCGATTTCAAGTGATAATCAAAATCTTAAACAAATAAATTAGTTTAATAAATGATAAAGATGCAGAGCCCACAATTAATAGTGCAAAAATAAATTAAAGACTAAATAAATTAATGAAAATTTTTTACTAAGAATGTTTCTTCTGAATAACGGAGACGGATAAAAATTTTTATTCGGGTTTTACAATCAAACTTAGAAAAATTAAATATTACTTGTATGAGGTGTTCGAAGAAACCGCCTTATAACTGTGCGAAGATCTGAAGACCAAGATATTCCTTCGACGCATTTTTATATGATATAAAGTCAGAGCTATCCAGAAGTCTTTCAGTTATATTCATAATACATCCAAGAATATTTATTGATGGTAGCTGAAAGTATGTCACATAAAATTTATTAAATATTTGTAAATGTAAC